CTCCTCCCTTTCTTCATATTTTCTTTTCAACCTTTAATTAGGTAATATTAAAACTCATGCGATTCACAAGGTGGTAAGGAAAAAAAAATTCGTTTCGGAATATTTTTAGCAGTTATTACTGGATTTACGCGTATCCCATGTGAAACATCGGCTCACAATAGGTAAACTATAAAAGTGAGTTTAGTGGTTTTAATTTTTGAACTAAAGCCTATTAGGCGTTGTGATTTCGGTATTTTTCATAAGCGATGCCGATACGCCCTACGGCCATTTTCCACTCAGGGAAGTAGCAAACTGGTCTTTTAGGATCTGCAAGTAGTGCAGTTAGTCAGGTGTAAGTGAAACAGAAAATAATATTTCGGTAGTGCCAAGAATTTACTTTGGCAAGAGCATATTCGACGATGTCGGCGCTCGTTCGTCCACCATTGTAATCCTCAGCATCGCTGTCGCTTGAACCCGGAGCGAAATATTTGATTGTTGGGAAGCCCTGGATGCCGAAACGGCTTGCTGTACTCTGATGCACCGTAGCATCCAGTGCTCCAAGCTGCAAAAAAAAGCGTTATTTGAAAAAAAAAAATTTAAAAAACTCGATTTTTAAACTGAAAAAATTTAGCCTAACGGATACAAACTGTAGCTCATCAAAATCAGCAGGCTCTTTTCGCTCTCCAAGAGACAAGAAAGTGCTCGAAAGTGACCATTCTGCTCGGAGATGATGAGTTATCGATAAATACCCCGTTTAAAAAATCTTTTAGGCACAAGTTGAAAACAGTTTGACTCTGTCATTCTAGGCAAGACAGTGTCAAATACCACTGAGTCAACGAATCGTAAAAGAGAAATGACTGTCGAAAAAGCAGGCTGAAACAATATCTCTGGCCAGAGAGGTGGCGCACTTAGCCTAATCAGCCTACTTCGGTACAATATTCATAATGGTGGAAGTATTGTTTTCCTAAATTTGTGTTATTTTTACTCTACCTTTTTACATTATCTAAATTTTCCTTTTTCTTTTTGACACTTTGCATGTTATTTTTGCTGCAACCGTCACAATGACGAGGTTCAGTTGCAGCACTGAACAGGAATGTATGCGACTTGATGGACCGAAACATTCCTATGCAGGTTTTTATTCCGATTTATCTTATTTACCTTACTTTTATTCCCTTACTTTTAAACCCTCACTTTTTACATAAATCCACATCGTCTAAAATTAAAATTACAATTACGTATCTACATATTTTCGCATAAAATCAAAATTTACCTTAACTTTACCGTGTAATTCGGATGCTGCCTGGTCCCAGTGCGGTTTCAGCGCTTTACAATGGCCACACCAGGGCGCATAGAATTCCACCAGCCAAAGATCCTTGCTGTGAAGTACCTTTTGATCAAAGTTACTATCAGTTAATTCAATCACAACATTTTTGCCGTCACCGGTCTTCTTGCCCTCATAACTACCACCAGATTCGCCGGAGCCACTGACGCCAAGCTTCGAGTATAACGTCTTTCGCATTTCATTGATCAGTATATCGATCATTCCCTGTGCTGTACGAGCACCTGAAACGCTCTCACTGATTGGATCACCAAAAATGAAAATCAGAAATTAAAAAACATCGCTTATAATCTCTATCTATGTATAATACTAAGTCTAATAGCCGGTTTTTTCCTAATAGGTGGAATACCTCACCGTCTTTAAAAGTACCAATGTACAGGGTGAGATAATGTTCAATAACACAACGAGGGGTCTCAAAACGGCTGAATAATGGATTAAGAAGATTGTAATTAAGTGTCATGTATAATAAGACATTTGAAACCTCGCTTGTTGCTTCTGACGGGGAATCTTTAAAGTTCGTGATCCCCAGAAGAAACGATCTCTGCTTACCTCTGTAACGCTCTTTGTTTAACTCTTTTCATTCTTTACTTGTTTGTTTGTTTACTTATTGACTATATACAAATTTGCTAGTAAGCTGACTGACAGGCGATGCAAATTTGGTCATAACAAGTGGAGAAGTTGTCGGCTGGATAGCCGAAGAACAGGTATGTGAATCAGCAGATGATCCAGGTGTTACAAGTATAAGTATGTTTCAAACTTATGGAGGATGTGCTTACAACTGTATTTATATGTTCCCGGATGAAATTTTTAGATGCCAAAGGAATCGATAATGCGCTGCATGCTTTTAAACCAAAGCAAGGCAGAATACTCAAAAAAAAAAAGAACAAAATAAAAAAAAACAAAAAAAAGGGGAGAATGTTCAGCTGCAAGGACTGCACGAATTCAAGTAATAATGCAATCACAGCTCACTGCGTACTTTGCTACTAAGCAATTAAAGACCGATGAAAAAGAAAACCCTTTCTACAGACAGTTTAACAAAACCTACAATAACATAAGCACTGTGTCCCGTCAGAGATTTTATTACTTTCTTGTAATTTTCGCAATTTACGTAATTTATATAATGTAAATTGTCAACTTTTCATCCCGTTTTACTATCTTATTTAAGGGTAAGTGAAAATGTAGTTGGAAAAAGTAAAAAGAA